CCAAAACATCAAAGGACTAGAAGAAATACCAAAAGACAATTCACCAACAATACATTGAAGGAACGGAAACTGAATACCAGAAAAAAAAACTGCCAAAAAAAATTTTTACAAAAAAAAAAAAAGAAAGAGTAGTATAAAACTACCCAAAGAAGCAACTACAAGACAATTCACCAGTAAATGCTGAAAGACTAGAAGAAATACTACAAGACAATTTGCCAGCAAAATATCGAAGAACTAGAAAAAATACCACAAGATAACTTACCAGTAAACGCTGAAAGATCCAAAGAAATACCACAAGACAATTTATCAATGAAATACCAAAAGACTAGAAGAAATAACGCAAGACAATTCATGTCGAAAGAACATAAGAAAGAATGCCAGAAAAAAAAACTGCCGAAAAGAACTTCTACAAAAAAAAAGAAAAGGAAGGGTAGTATAAACCTATCCAAAAAAGCAAGTACAAGACAATTCACTAGCAAATACCAAAAAACTAAAAGAAATACTACAAGACAATTCACCAACAAAATGTCAAAGGAACAGAAGAAAGAACACCAGACCAAAATAACTTCTGCAAAAAAGAGAAAAGGAAGGGTAGTATAAAACTACCCAAAGAAGCAACCACAAGACAATTTACCAGTAAACGCCAAAAGATCAGAAGAAATATTACAAGACAATTCACCAGCAAATGCTAAAAAATCAGAAGAAATATCGCAAGATAACTTACCAGCAAATACCAAAAGACCAGAAAAAAATACCACAGAACAACTTTCAGCAAACACTAAAGGATGAAAAAAACTACTACAACACAATTTACAAGTGAAATATCAGCAAATATCGAAAGGAAGAGGAGTAAACAAAGTGATCAAAAAAAATTGTTATTAGTTGTTTATATAAGCTAATTTATTTTTGTTATAAACAAAATAAATGAAAAAAATAAATAAATAAAAGAAAGAAATATACAAAGATCAATAAAAAATAAAAAATAAAAATATTTAATCTAGATTAGATATTAAAAAAACTGTAAAGATCTTCAAATGACAGTTGATTTATATGTAGGAATAAATCAAACGATTATGTATAATAAAATGCGGCAATATGTGAAAAATATAGTTTTTGTACTGACAAATATAATCATAAAAATGTAATAAGCTTTGTTACAAGAAAATTATGCAGTAAGGTAATGTTAGGAACATGACAAAAATCAGATAATTTTTTAGAGGGGAAGGGGGTAAAAAATTTAAAATTATATATAAAGACCTGATCAAGATATATAGTAAGAGGGAGGAAGGGGTAAGCCTCTGATAAAAAAAAATCAGGTGATAAATGACACTGCCCTTATTAATTGTGAGCATGAAATTTAAAATATTTGAAATATTTCAAATATTTCAAAATATTATAATATCAAAAATTTTTGATAAATATTTTGAAATATTTCAAATTATTTTTCAAAATTTTTCGAAATTATAATATTTCGAAATATTTTGAAATATTTTTCGAAAATTTTCATTATTTTTGTATATTGCAAATTATTTAAAATATTTTGGTCTTATAAATTTGCTAATGATCTCTGTAGTTTTGTTTTGTTTTCTAGAATCTTCTTTTTCATCCGTACCTGACTTCCTAGATACTGTTTCTCTGTTTATATCTGTCACATAATCCAAAATTAGATTGTTTTGTTTATTCCTAGACACGTATTCTATTTGTGTAATAACAACAGATCTGCAGTATAGAGTCAAGTGCAATTTCCCAAAAATTGCTTGCAAAGGGCGAAATTTTGTTAGTTTTTTGTTGTTTTTCTTTTTTTTTGTCCAAAGTTTTAATATTTTTACTTTCATCTTCTAAGAGATTAGATGTTATTTTGTGTGTTTTTTCTCTTTACTTAGTACTGCGAACTGTATTTCCTTTAGCGAAATATGTGTTTTATTAATTTTTTGTTTATAATGAATTTGTATTCAGAGGATTAGCAGAAAGAGTTTTGATAGTTAATATGATCTCAACAATAAATTACTTTATATTTATCTATTTTACTTATATAGAAGTTCTATTTTTTTTGTTCAGATTTTTATTAAATCTGTTTGCTATTATTTTAATCTGAGTTTTCATAAACATATTTTATACTTTAAAAAAAAAAAACTAATGAAAAAAATAAACTATAGCTTGTTTTAGTAAAAAAAAAAAAGTCAAGAAAAATAAATAAATAAATAACTAAATAATATGCAAAAATACTATTCCTGATAGATTGTTGGTACTGTTTTTGATAAAGTGAGAAAAAAGTTGATTTATATACTATTCCTAATAGGTTCTAAAAAAAGACCTCCAAAATACAAAACTATATAATAAAAAAAGTTAGAATTAGGGTTCATTTTTAGAACTCTATCAGGAACAGTACTCAAATATTTTTTTTTTTAACTTTATCAAGATCGGTATTGCTGATCTATTAAGAATAGCATTTTTACAAATAATATAAATATCAAAATATTAAACTTGTAAAAATAGCTACTTAGTAAAGGAACTTCATTTGCAAAAACAAACTATTTATCAGAATAAAATAATATAAAATGTAAAAATTTATTGGAACAGAACTTTTAGAGTATAGATTTAGTTAATTCATTTATTATTTTGCTATTTCACCATTTCATCAATTTTACCAATTTTACTGATTTATCAATTTCACTAATTTTACCAATTCACTAATTCACCAATTTCACCAATTTTACCAATTCTACCAATTCCACTAATTCACCAATTTTACCAATACTGATTGGTGATTGGTGAAATAATAAAATTATTTCACCATCTTAGTTTAATTTTATTAGCATTTCTAAGTATAAGTCTGTTGCTTTGCTCCAGATAATTAGAATATTCTAAATTAGATTCTTCAATTTTAACTATAAAATCTTTATCAAAATTAGCATTATAAATTTCAAATATTTGTATATCTTTACTAAACATTTTGTTAGTTTCTAGCTCTTATATTTCAACAACATATTTATTAAAATTATTATAATTTTTCAAATTCAAAATTTTAATTTCATTTGTTGTATTCATTTTAATAGATTTAATTTACAAATACTAATATGAGATTAGGTATACTATAGAAAATTCCATAATAAATTAATTATTAATCAATTTATTACTATTATTAATCATAAAATAAGCAATCGACTCAAGTCGACTAACTTGATAAAATGAATATTTTAAGTCATCAGCTTGAGTCGAGTTGTTAGCATCCCTACTTCCGCCACACTCTAGACAATAAAAAAAAAAGCGTTATTACTTTAAAGTGCATATTAAAACGAACTTGACGAATGTAATTTTGTTTATGTGGATTTTTCTGTTAAAGAGTTATTACAGTATGAATTTATGTTTTTACTATAACATTTGTCGATCTATAAAAAAAATGTATTACGTACGTATGAGAATTTATTACGTATATGACCTGCACTATGTTTGTAAATTGACCAATGTGATACATCCCAGTAATAAAAAATTTATAATGATAAAAAAATCTGCCAAGACTAGATGTATGTTTGATTTTATCGGATGATCGACCACCCCAACATCACGTGTAACCCCAACTTCTTTTCGATCTGTTGTTCTTCATTTTTCTTCCACTTCCCAGGGTGTATAACCATGTGGTAACTTTGACATATTCTGTGTTGAAAATTTTGATAAGAATTGAACTTATATTCTTAGTGTACTTTAAAGTGTATAAATACAACCGTAAGTAGTTGACCATTCAAGAAAATTATGCGGCATACGTGCCGGTGTTTTTAAATCCGGGTTAATAGATCCGGGTTTAAACTTAAACCCGGATTTACAGCTGTTCTCATGAATTATGTGACAAATTAAAAATTTGCTCGTTATCTGAAATCTTTTTCGGTTTCGTCCTGTAAATTACTAATCCTCTAGAAATTACATCGCTATCTTTGAACCTTCAGTCCGAAGACAGTGAGTGATGTGATTTACAGAGAATTATGTGATTTACAGAGCGAAACCGAGAAGATTTCGGACAATGAGTAAATTTTTAATTTGTCCTAGCATTTATGAGAACTACAGTCGATACTATCTAATTGTATGCTATCCGTCAAAGCATTTAACCATTTTTATGTTTAATAGTTAAAAACCAAAACTTTTTTATGCATTTAGAGAATACATGCAGTATCGACTTAATGAAAACATCCGGGTATTTAAAAATCCGGATGAAAACATAAATCCGGGTTGAAATATTATTGACTCTAGCCTGAATTTAGACATCGTAGTTCTAGCTAACATTAATTTTTGTATGGCTGCATAACAATAAACCACCAATAATAAACCTACGCTAACTTTTAATAGATTTGGTTTTATTACAAATATTGTGTAATGTAATAACCAAACAAAATATTTCTATTTGCGGCCATTTCAATATATATATATAAATATATAAATTAAAAGCCAAGTTGCCGGTTCTATTCTACATCCGATATAACCCATTTTTTTTTTCATGCAACGCATTTTTACTTGGAAATATTTAGCTGGTTTTAGCGTTGGTGGTTATGTTACACGAAGATCTTCAAGTTTATTGGTTCCGAGCAAAATTTTGCAGATCATTTTCTTGACACAATAATCGATTGATTGATTCATCAATAACGATAATATATTTTATTGAATGGATAAGCTATAATGCGAGAGAATCGCGTTAGTACTCGTATGAACATAAGTACATACATCTACTATACATAACAGTGCTAAAAGTAATTCCCCATTTAGGTAATAAATGCTCAGTTTTTGTCCCGAGAGGATTATCGTTAGTTTATCAAAGTGGCTTATATAGTATATCGTTATACCCATGATTATATGTTTCAGGCTTTTGGGGTTACACTGCGTTACAAACTAATGAAATATTTAAGCTTATACGATAAGCTTTTCTTTTTTTTTTTTTTTTTTAATCAAAAATTGAAAAAAATTGAAAAAATTGAAAGCGCATCTCAACAAAGAAACATTATTTTACTAACTTGATGGAAGCTGCAATTCATCAATTCAGGAGGGCATGTCCCTTCCTTCATAATAATTCTACCGCCTCTCTTCGCAAGCTTTCTCGTATGCCTGCACCTACTACTGGCATTTCTGAAGCTGGAAATGTGCGTGGTAATGCCTTGGTTTTTATGGCGCAAAAGTGTCCCGTTATGGGAAAAGCCATGGCTATTCAAAGCAAAAGTTATCTTCATACCTCCGCTAGGTTGGCGAAACAACCTACTTCTCCTTTGAAACAAGCTTCAGTCGTTCAAGAAAGCCGAGATACTACTCATCGTGAGGCTTATTCATTCGCTCAAAAACAACCTGTATTTCATTCTACCAATAATCAGCACTTTGATTATGAAACATTATATAAAACTGAACTTGATAAAAAACACCATGATAAAAGTTATCGTTACTTTAACAACATTAATCGATTGGCTCAACAATTTCCCAAGGCTCATACCGCTAATTTACAAGAAGAAGTGACTGTCTGGTGCAGCAATGATTATTTGGGAATGGGCAGAAATCCCGTGGTTCATGATACCATGCAGTAAGTTTTGAATTTATATATTTTTCACATGAATTTATTATTTAATTAAATTGTTACTCGATTTTACAGGCGTACATTGCATAAATATGGTGCCGGTGCAGGTGGTACTCGTAATATTGCAGGTAATTCCGCCTTGCATTTACAACTTGAAGCGGAATTGGCTGACCTTCATCATAAACCTGGTGCCCTTTTATTCACTTCTTGTTATGTCGCTAATGATGCGACTTTAAGTACTTTGGCCTCAAAACTTCCTGGTTGTGTCATTTTCTCGGATGCTTCGAACCATGCTTCCATGATTCAAGGAATTAAACATTCCGGTGCTAAAAAAATGATCTTTAAACATAATGATTTACAAGATCTTGAAACTAAACTTCAATCTGTTGACATTAAAACTCCAAAAATTATCGCATTTGAAAGTGTCTATTCTATGTCCGGTTCCATAGGTCACATCGATAAAATTTGTAATCTCGCAAAAAAATATGGTGCAATTACATTTTTAGATGAAGTTCATGCTGTGGGAATGTATGGTCCACGTGGTGGTGGTGTATCTGAGCATTTGGATTTTGATTTAAATGCTCGTTTTCCTCACGGAAACAATGGCAGCATTTTGGACAAGGTTGATATTATCTCTGGTACACTTGGTAAAGCCTTTGGTGTAGTTGGTGGCTATATTGCTGGTTCTGCCGCCTTGGTTGATATGATTCGTTCTTATGCTCCCGGTTTCATATTTACCACTTCTCTCCCTCCGGTCATTGCCGCTGGTGCTAGGGCTTCTGTTCAATATTTAAAAGAATCTACCAATGAACGTGTGATGCAACAATTAAACACCAGAATGCTCAAGGATCGTTTAGCCGAACTTGACATTCCAGTTATTCCAAATCCTTCTCATATTGTTCCTGTGCTTGTGGGCGATGCTGAGATTTGCAAGAATGCCTCTGATCAATTGTTGCGTGAACATGGAATATATGTGCAGTCTATTAACTACCCAACTGTTGCTCAAGGTGAGGAACGGTTGAGGATTACTCCTACGCCTGGTCATTCTGAAAAAATGACTGACGAGCTTGTTAATGCCTTGGAAACCATTTGGAGAAAGAATGGTTTAAAGAGAGTTTTTGATTGGAAACAAGAAGGTGGAAGAGCCGGTGTTGGGACTGATGACCCCATTCCGAAACCAGTTTGGACCGATGCTCAATTGAGAGTTGCAGTTGACCCTGGTGTTTCCATTAGACCTAATGTTACGGCTCAATCCTTTTTGTAAATTGATATTACTATGTAGTTTGAGATTTCTATTTATTTTGGATATAACCAAGATCTAAATTTATATCCTTGCTCAGTCAATTGTGTAAATTAAAAAAAAAAAACAAAAAAAACCAATAAAGTTGTTAAGTCCAATTGGTTAAATTATTAAAAATTTCGTTATTTTATTTTCAAAATAAGAATTTAAAAAGGATTGTCAATATATTGAATATTCTAACCATCGAAAAAAAAGGGGTCGGATTGCATGATTTCCGATGTTAGTTTGAACGTTATTAACAGAAATTACATTGCAGCGTTATCCACCTTTTCTAAAGTTTTTATTGGTTAAAATTTTTAACCAACCAGATTTTTTAGTTTTAGGTCTGCAAATTCCTGATTTTGCGGCCCGGACCCGGCCTGCAATTAGAGTTACAGCTGTTTTCTCATAAATTCTGGAAAATCTGGCAAAAATTGACCGACCGAATATTTGCCGATTCGATAAGTTTTGATTCGGATGCAATTACATCCCGGTTTATCACTGCTGAAAAAATTTTTTGCCGGCCCGGCCCGCTTTACAGCTATTATCATTATTTCTGGGACACCTGAAGAATTTTCAGATGACCGAAATATCCTCTGTTTCATTCGGTA